CCTTGCCCTTCTCTTGCTTCATTCAATGTATGGAATCCCCAGTCACATTTGGCCATACCCAGTATTTGAATCACAAATTGGCCTCATCTGACTGCACTCTGCTCATTCTAGTATCTTCATTCCTAAACCAAACAGCAACACACGTGTATCATCTTCCTTACTGTTATACCCCTCACACCTCCTCTTAACAAGTTTTGATGACCACCATCACTACATTCCAATTTCCCCACCATTTCTATATCTCCCCAGCCAGCAGCATGCCCCACCATTTGCTTTAACACTGTTTGCACCATTCTGCCTCATCTCTGACCCTCAGAATCTCTCTTTCTCAAGCATTAGTTGCAGCACCAGATCAATATAATTTCCTCCTCCTGAACACCATACAATTTTGCCTCACCACATATAATTTGACTTGAAAGGCCAAAGGAAGTGGAGAACCCTCATCTGCCATCAGTTTTCACACCTGAAGATGAAACAAGGTTTGTATGCAAGCCTTGGGAAAGTTTATCATCTCATCAAAACTGAGGTTTTACTCACAACTCAAAGGAGAATCTACTTCAGCTGACAGCAGATACCATCTATGTGTTATGTTTACACTGAACTTCTAAAAAAGGATATGACCTAAACGTACTTCAGCAAAAGCAGAAATAGTGAAGCCTGACGCACTGTAATGTTTACTTGGTACCTCAAGCTCCAGCTGCCTTGCATGAGAGCAGGAAGCGTGGGTGAGTGAATATAAATCTTCAGCTCATTTAGAACAGGAAATCTGCAACCAGAGCATCAGATCTAACAGGAATGGGCAATACCAGAGCAATGACTTTCCAAAATTTTGCCAAACAGATGTGAGGCGACAGGATTTTGAAAAAGAGCACCTCAGCATTCATACAGCTGGTCCTACCATTAAACATGAAACTCTTCCTTTTGCTCAGGTCATCCCCTTGAAAGTCTACAAATCTTTCACTTCCTTTCCTCTAGAATTGTGGACAACATTCTAATTTATATATCAAGTTAAAAAAAAAAAAAGCCAGGATTCTGTACTGTTTTTTTAAATAGATGCAAGTCCACAGGGGCATCCAGGAACTATGCTAAATTTTAGTTGGTTGAAGCATCCACCACAGGCAGTATGGTTGTATACATGCACATTGCCACTGATCTCATCATGAAGAGATGGGGGAGGAAAATGTAAATTTATTGAATTTCCAGTAAGAGTTGGGCTTAATATGCCCTTTAAGTAAGAAATTATCATTGCTATAAAGTCACTAGCATGCAGACAGGTGCAACAGGATATCAGGGCACTAAGCCTGAAACATTTCAATCTGCATTGACAAAACCATCCCTGGAAGAGTGCTTAGCCTTACTGCAATCACTACTTCAACCCAATCCTTGTTCCTTACACCGAATGTGTGATTTCACATTTCCTAGTGCAATTCAGGCTTTGAGGATTAGCTCAGACATCTTAGAAGTGTACCATATTCCCCCCCAAAGACAGTACTGTCTTGCAGAAAGAGCTGTTTGTAAAGCAGTGTCTAACTTAGTCACCCGGTGTCACCAAAGCCTTCCTTTGTCAATGGCATTTCAGATTCCTTTGTTTCTGCTCAACAGACCAGGCATTGTGGTAACCTCAAACAAAGCATGCATTCATGCATTCTCTTCCAGGTTGTGCAAGGAAAATGAATATCCAGAAAGTTCTTCTGCCAGTGTGGCTACTATGCTCCCATCTGGCTCTAACCCTCACCAAATAATCCACACTGGTAACAGAAAATCAGAGCCAAATGGTTCTAAAATATTAGCCAAGTGAAAATGCAACAGCATAAACCTTACAGAGGATGGGAGCCCACTACGCTCTAACACCATGTGGGCTCTTTTTGCACCTATAGGCTTTTAAGTTTAAGTTGCTCAGATTCTTTACTGCTTTCTTCTATTGTTACTTACTGGTCATTACTTGTTAATTAGCATGAAATTGTTGGGAGCTGAAAGATTTCACACCCTTTCTTTGTCTCTCAAGAGCAAGTTACCTAAAAACAAGGTAAATTCCTTTTCTCTCCAACTGCCTGTGCAAGACAGGCCTGCCTCAAAGTCTAGGTCTGTTTAATGCTGTAGGAAATTAAACCAAGTGCTCCATTTTTCTGTCTCTCATCTTTTTCCCTGTTTAAATGTTGCAAGAGAAAAGCTACAGCCATCTCCTTCTACCAAACTGTTATTTTTCATTAGGCAACCATCACAAAGAAATTAATTGAAGAGTGCCTACACAAGAGGCCACAAGGACAACATGACACCTCCCAACAACCCCTGCAGTGTTGGGGACCAGGGACCCATAGCTATGGGATGCTCTCTGGTGTCCTTTACTCAGCATATAGGCCCTGTTTGCAACCTATGCATCTGGGTCCAACACTCTCTCCATATGTTCAGCAGAAAACCAAGGCTGCTAGCTCCAGGCAGTGCTTCCTCTTGAGATAGAACAGCCCGACGTTACTGTGGATTTCTGCACTTGCCAGGGTAAAATGAAGCCAATCCTGGCAAATTAAGCAGAAGTTCATCCATCAGCCACTGGAAGCCAACAGAAACCATGCCATTTGTTACCACCCAGCTAGGTACCTTCATTCAGAACTGCCTATCATTAAATAATCACATACTAGGACACATCTTAGTCCCAGTTCAACACAGTTGGAAACTAATTAATCTTAGCAATAGTTTTGGAGATGTATTCAGCATTAAAGAACCAAGAACAACTACAAAAGACATTTTCCCACCAGCCTATTAGAAAACACTTAGCATGGTTATTGCACCTTTAGAAGTTCTATAAATCTAAATAAAATTTCTTCAGCTAACAGTTATAATCTTTCTGCATATTAGTAATAAAGCTTCAGTAATAAGCAACCTTTTTTTAATGTACAGTATTTGAAAACTTGCCTTCCTCACTGAAAGAAATGCTGAAGGAAGCAAAGTTTCCCTTTGGGAACTATTACGAAGAAAGGAAATTTAAATACATATATTGAATATGTATATATTTGAGAACTGAGAGACAACATGTTTCCCCCCAAAGGTACCTATTCAGTGCTCCCATCTAATCCACAACAAATGCAGCATGATCCAATTCTTTAGGGAAAGCTGTCCTACGGAAAAGCTATCCTAACTGCATTAACTTCTGCATATCTTTTTCTCACAGCGTATCTAGGAGAGAAACGGAAACCTCACCAAGCAGTCAAAGTCAGAAACCCAAATGTCTGGCTGAAACTTCAGAACTGGCAATTTCTAGAAAAAGAAAACAAACAAACAAGCAAACAAAAACAGGGTGCCTTTTTGGAACACCTTCAGTTAAAGGCTATTATTATTATTTTTCTTTTTATACTGACAGCCTAACAGGAGTTACCACCGAATAAACTCCTCTGCCCAACTAAAGCATCTCATGAATTTTCATCTTAGAAATACTAAGGAAAACAGAAAAGCAGCTAAGGCTCAAGATGTTGTAAATGCTGTTGTGAAATACACCTGTACAAAGAACAGAACAAATATCTCTGACCATATTTCCCTCACTACAAACACAGCCCATTAGCAGATGCAGCAGCTGAGGATGGAGATTCGGCCACTCAAGAGCTTTTATCCTGCTGGCCAAGTTTTTAAGTATATTGTTTCCTGTGTTCTGATGGCATTTTGTTTCACGTAATGAAGGCAAGTACTCTGATGTGCTGCAATATGCTCTGCTTGGCCACTTATACAAAACTGAAGGAATTTAATCACAGTGTAGAAATATTCTCAATATGTTAATTGCAATAAGATTTTGTAAGCAAGTATTAAGCAGTTCTAAAATATCCAGTCCTATTACCTGCAGTCTAAAATCTAGCACTTCAATGCTAATTCTTAGTTAAATTATTGGGTAGCACAGATTTAGGATAGATGTATATATACAGTTCTCACTAATGAAGGCTAATTATAGAATCTCAATTCAATTATCAACAAAATAAACCTAGAATAATTAAAACCAGTCCAAATGTCACTATTAAAAATACCTCCACCACTGAAAACATACAGCTGAATTCAATCGTGTAGGCAATAAAGCAAATACGAAGACTGCCCTCCTTATACTTAAGCAATTATCTCTAAAATTTGTCAGTAGTAGCATCACTTCATAAATAATTTTGGATTTCCATTGAAAAAAAACCTCACTTTAATCCTCACATACTTCAGCCTTTTTGACTTTAACTTCTGTGATCCAAGCCTGATTACCTTCCTCAGGTACATAAAGGCTGACGGTAGGCACAGAACTCAGTAATTCAGTTGGCACAGAAAACATGCATTTGTCACTATAGGTTATAGATATAACTTGGGAAAGCGAGCTGGGATACCAGCAAGCACTGATAGTTTCAGACCAAGTCTAAACCTCGTTTCAGTTTTAAAATGTATTTGCGTGATTGAAATCTTCATATCAGAACTTAAGTACAATACCTTACATGAACATGACATTCTTTAACACAGAAAAGAGCTAATGAAAAACTAAGAGTCTACCCAGGTTATTCTGCGAATTAACCTGTTTTAAGTGTTTGGTAATGAACTGAAGCACTTGATTTGTGAGTTCTGGAATAACAGTGAGCTGCTGCTTACTATAGTCAATAATTCTAGAGCACGTTCTAACAAAAATCCAACAAATGAAATCTAGACCTTATGTTATGGAGGATAAATGTAAAACTTCAGAGGTAGTTACACGTTAAATATTTATATCTTACAGCAAACTGTAAGCCTTCATACAAAGTATGGTCGTTGTTTGTTTTTTTGTTGTTGTTGTTACGCTGGCTGTAAGATATAATCCTTTCCCATGACATTTTAAAAATATGCAGGCTGCAAATAACCAGTATTTGGCCAAATGGGAAATACTACCACCTATCACCCACCTTCATTACTCAAGTGATCCCAGTCTTCCTGAGCTAGGAGGCAAAAAGCTGAAAAGCTTTCTCATGTAGTCTTTTGCACCGGTACACTAAATATTCATTATACTGACACTGTAATAAGAGCACTTACATCAGTACTTTATTGTTTATGTTGGTGAGTTCTCTCAGAACGTACATATCACCACAGGGGAACATCTCACGTCACGTCTTTCTCTACTCACCAAAATCTAGGCATTGCATGAAAAAAACATTAATGGATTGTCAAATCATGCACTGAAGATTAAACACGAATGCCTATTATTTTATTCCAATTACCAAATTGGGTCACTTGGGACTCTCTTGGGTCTCTCTCTGCTTACGGAATATCCTTCGTATAGTAAAGACCATTTTGTAAGTGCTCATTCCAAGTATTACTATGGCAAATAAATAAAATTCCCACTTCAAAAGGCTCCAAATTTGCTCTGGGACCAAGCATCACTTTCTACTAACAGCCTTCTGCTTTTTGAAGTTAATTTCAGGATAGGAATATTTTGTCAAGTTTGACACTGAAAGATGAACCCACACTGGCAGGCATTGCTTTTCCCAGAGGAAGTCTGCTCTTTCAGCTGAGCAAGAGATGACAGGTAGGTCAGTAAGAGTTAGTCTCATTTTCTGTTTCTCTGGAATTAATTCCAGTAGATAGAGATCAGTTGTAACAGCAGATCAAATCTTTGCATTTTGAAAAGGAAGTATTATGGTATCAGCATCCTTTATCAAACAATACAAGCACAGGTTACTTGTATACAGAAATATGACTGCTAACAACTTTTGCTGTCAGTGAGTGCTTTGTTAGACTAAGTCTAGTTCCATATGTGAAAAGTTTCTAATGCCTTATTTATGGTACCCCATCACCTCCTCCATCCTCACTTCCCATCAATTCATGTTTCTTCTTTTGTCTTATTGCCAAGCATCGTGCAATGCCCAGTGCACCTCCTTTCAGAAACCGTACAAAGTTGTCTCCCACCAGGGGACCTAAAGCAAAGAGGTTTGCTTCTTTAGTGCATTCGTACGTATATGGATCTATCTCAATAGGATTCCCTTTGCACGTGATGGGCTGATTTAAGTGATGTCCTATGCTATGTCCTTGATCCTTTAAAAAGAAAAGATTTGGGTGAGAACCTATCAGAACTAAGGCTACAGAAAACTTCAAGATTTTCTTCAGTCCAGAGGCACTCTGAAGAACACACTTCATTTCAGGCTTAAAGGAAAGTACATTGTGTTCAGGGAAACTAGTGTAAGCAGAATGCAGATGAGAGTCCCCAGTATGTGACTGAGTGCACATCATATGATAGACCTTATGGTACTCAGGGTAAAGCTTTTTAGGCAATTGTTTGTAAATCAGACTCGAATCAGTAACTCTTCTACGAAACACATGAATTACTGGGATGTTGTTATTGTAGGCACACAGTACTGCATCAGCTGCAGTAAGTCCAGCACCCACAATTAACACAGGGTCTGCTTTCCCACGTAGCTTTCCTTTGCTTACAGCAGCTCCGAAGTCAGACATGGAATGAAGGACAAAAGGAAAATCTTCACCTTCAATGTGCAGTCGGCCAGGAGAGTCAAAGGTTCCCGTGGCAAGAGCCACGTTCTCAGCAAAGAGGCAGAAGGGCACACGAGAACCATCTGTTGCTCGCTGATAACCTCTGACTTCCCAGTTTCGCTTAATCAGTGGTTTCTGTCCATCTTCCATTTCCAAATGCTTTTCATTCAGCTGACTTCTATCTTCATCATCTCCTCGGTAAAGTCTGGATACTGATGTTATGTAAACATTGTCCCTGAAGTTTTTTTGGAGGCCCATGACTTTAACATAGTGTTTATAGTAACAAGCTATTTCCTCCGGCATTACTCGGTCACTCTTTATATTTCTGAAACAAAATTGAATGTTTCCAGTTAATATAAAGACCTTATCAATATTTTCAACATCCAACTATGATCTACGACACAACAGTCAGATTTAAGAGCACTGAATCTGCCCAGTGTAACTGATATGGAGTTCAGTATATTTAAACTCACTCAATTTGCTTTATTTGCTCTCTTGAATCCTGACATAAGAGACAAGCTATCTCTTTTTAAAAACAATGTAAATATTTAATTATAATAAGTGCTAAGGTGATGAACAAATCAAAAAGAAAACTGCAGTATTACTTAGGTCTATATGGAAGTGTTTTACAACTCACTTTAACATCATGACCACCTACAGTAGAACACCAGCTAAAACAGCACTCAATGACCACTAAAATAAAGCAAATAAATATCATAATTGCTAAGAGCCAAATTTGAAACTGTAGGTTTGGTATATTGTAAAGTGTAATGAAGAAAAGGGCTTAACTCGAACGAATCACTCTCCTGTGAGTACAGATAAGCTCAGTAAGTTTCAAATTAAGTAGCTCTGAAACAGAGAATTAAATCCTACCTGAATGAATGAAGTATCACACTGAACCTTAATACACATTTGAACAGGATTACAATGACCAGATGTCCAAGAAAAAGCATTCTTGCACTGGAATCCTGATACTACCTTATGTTTGACCTATTTACAAAAAATTTAAGCTGTCCGAGAAATTGAATGAATCTGTTTGCTTCTTTAGAAAAAAGCTCCAGGAAAAGCCAAAAGAAACAGTAGCAAATAACAGGTTATCCACTCAACTAAGCTGAGAAGCGTGTTTACATGAGACTGGGTTGCTTATTCTCAATGGTTAAAAAGATAACATACGTGCTTTCAGTTTAGGTTACTACTCTGAAAATCCTAATGAGGTATTTAATGGATAGGATGAATGTCAGTGTGACACCTGGTATAACAACACTATTTCATATGACTGTAAGCATTAATTATCACTGATATTTCTAATTATGCCTGTTTAACTGTAGTGAAACAGTTCAGCATTTCTTTTTATAGTATTGTTGAAAATTATAATATAAACAAATTAGCTCCAGATAATAAGTAGCTTATGGGATTTCAGTTAATGACAGTAATCTTGTCTCCTTATTATCTAAGAAAGCTATTACAGAACAAAGGTACAGTTTCTTCATTTTAAGTGTTGTCCTGAAATGAGTAACACTGCTCTTAAAGACATATGCCCAAGAAATCCTTCTACTTTTTTGCCCTATGTGTCAAAACAACTTCCTTTCATTTTGCTAGAACAAAGTTAGGAAAATTTGTTGTAGAACAGGCTTAAGCAGAGCGCATCTGTTGACACAGATCTTTGGGAACTAATCGCAGCTTCAAAGTAAAAGCCAACAGATTGTACAAGACAGTGTTTTTTCTTTAACTTGCCTTCCAAGGAACTTAGTACAAGAAAGTAACTTTGGGAAACAATGAATTATTCTCTTAAAAGTACAGTTCATAGACTGTAACATTTCAGATGCTACAGCTTTGTCTGTGAAGTAAATACTGAGAGGTACGGACTTCCTGAATTGCAAGTAAGTATCCACAGCAACTTAAGTTACTCAAGTTAACATCCACATTGAAAGAGGAACTTCTGGTATACTTTGGTAGGTTTTGAATGACTGAATCAGCTTACAGTAACAGCACTTATTTGAGAAATGTTCAAACACATCACTGTTAGTACACATATATATTTTGATGCACTGAAAGCCATCGTTCTGGCCAACTGCTGTCAATTTTCTTCCACCAGAGTACATAAATCATTTCCAATGCCATTAGGCAATTTAATAAACAAAAGAAGTTTTCCTGTAAAGAATGAAGCTCAAATATTTTCCAGTTCTTAAAACAGTTACCTGCATTCTTACAACTTATTTCCCAGTACTTTAGGCAGTATCTTTACCTGCGCTTGCTAGCTGCCCACTCCTTGAAAGTGAGTCCAGGCAGTTCCATCCAGTCTCCAAAACTGATTGTTAGCATAGAGCCTTCCATGGCCTAGGGTGGAGGAAAAAAAAAACCAAGATGACCAGATACATTCCTAATAGATACTTTTATGTGAAACAGCAAAGTTCTTCTCACTGTATTCCTTCAGACCGACATAAAAATAGAGCATAATACACCTGATGAAATATTTTTGCCCTACAGTTAGATGTTTTAATGAGCAACTGCGTGATCTAAAAAAGTAGAAAGAGAGGACAAGCGAAGGGGAAAATAAAGGTTACTTAAAAATATTGTTATTTGAAACAAGAAAAAAAGATTAAAGCAAAGGATGCAGCCAAAGTCTTAAAGATTTAAGATTTTGTATAATTGCACCTGAAAACAACATGAGAAAAGTTAGAGAATAACCTTTGTTATAATTTAAAATAATAATAAAAACAAGACAGCAGTTATGGCCACAATCCCCAAAATTAAAGAATAACTTATCCCTCTGCCAATCTTTAACATACTTGACCTTTGATAATGGAAACTGCAATTGCCATCATTGACATTTAAAACAGCCGTTCTAAGAAAAGTCCCAATCCACAAAATTATCATGATATGAAATGCTTACTCACATGCCAAGCCCCACCAGGTGGTCCTTTACCAAGCACTACATGGGGAATATAATTATGCTGTTCCAGCTTCCAGTGCAAAACGGATGGGTAGTCATACCCAAAGTCAGCTTCAGGATGAAGGAGTGTATCAAAGAGCACTGCAACTGGGTTTGAAGAGCGTCCCTCCAGGCCTTCGGACAGGTACTCTAGATCCTGAAGCAAGAAAGTTAAGTTTTATATATTTACCTAACTTTTACTGTTTATCATACTGTTCTGATGTACAGACATTGAATTTGATACGCAGAAAATACAGTCAGTGGAAGTTGCATTTTAAGTATTTTATAGATAAACACAATCAAAACAGTTTAGAAATAACTGCTATGATTTACTCCTGTAACTCTGAATATAGTACATGTGCCTCATTTGAAAATTACATACTACTAATGCAGGGCTAGGTGGTATTTTAACAATTGGGACAAATAGAACAGAGCAACCAGATAACATTTATACTTACTAATACTGCACTGCTTTTAACAGAGAATTGCTAGTGTTTCCAGTCATGTAACTTCAACACATATCTGAAGTACGTTATCAGCATGTGGCATTCAGCCTTAAACCACCACACAGCTGCACCCAAACATTCTGGGACATGAGAGCTGGAAGGTCTGCATCAGCTCCTCACTGACATAGTGGTGCTTTTGACGCTTCTGGCAAGCGATAATATCATTACAAAAGGCAGATTGTAAAACCCCAAAATACCACAAACAAAAAGATCTCTAGAGCCACAAAACAAACCACCTTCACAAACATAGCAGCCTTGGACCACGAGCCTTAGATCATTTAAATCAACAGAAGCATGTTATCACTGCACTGGAAACGTGATTAGCTAAGCAGGCTACTTCTACATATTTTTCTGCAATCTGCTATTTATTTATATTTAAGATAATTAATTTATATTTAAGATAAGCAGTTCTCAGAACGTACCATTTTTCATCTGGAAGAGCCAAGTATATAATCTGCTAATGAGACACTGAAGAAGGTATGCACTGCCCTTCAGTTTGCAGGTAAGAAGAGCATAGGTCAAGTGGTAAAGCTAGTTGGCTGAGGCCACACAGCTACTTGAGCTGTACTGTGGTCTCATTCTTTGCAGGATAAGAACATTAAGCCCTTTTTTCATCTACACACTACTTACGTAAGTTACAAAAGCATTTCAAATAGGCTCACTAAAGACAACTGTTTCGTAATTGTAGTTTGTAGGAAAAGAGCTGGACAAGACTGCAAAACAGGCTTACCTGATCAACAATGGAAAGATGCCGGGCTTCCTCTAATTTTGTGTGGAGAATGGGGTTTGGATGTACAGCTTCAGGAGACAAATACGGCCTGTATCCAGACAGTAGATATGAAAGACAAATTCCTGAAGGTCCATTTCCTATTAAAGAAAGAGGAAACTGCTTTAGAAACTTTAGGTTACTTCTACTAAGTAATTAAACAAGCAGCAATAAAGTTACAGTGAAGTGGCATAATGCATTACCATCCCAATTCAAAGCAGCTTATAATTATCACAGTAAAATAACACCTACCCTAGAACTTCTTCCAGATAAGCCAAGCACAGTTTTTATCAGGTAAGAAAAAATGTGTGACAATTAGCACTATGAAACAAAGTGTACATAAAGGGATTTCATATTTCAGCATGTCAAGTTCACTGTTCTCATGCAAATGATCTGATGGATAAGATCTGCTCTACTTGTCAATCACAGAAATACCCGAATATTTCCATCTTGCATTTTTGCATTCACACTTGTACTAAGTACTGTAAAACACAGAATAGAAACAAGCTGGGGTATATGCTCTTTAGGTCTTATAAAAGAAAAAAGATGAGCAGAAAGCTGAAATGATCCAAGACAATGAAATATCACACACACAGCATAACAAAGTAGATGCTGACACACATAGTACATATGTAGCACTGTACAAAAAACTTGCATCAAACCACATTCAGCATTATGCTTTATTGCAACAATATCAACTCAAGCATCTTTTTGTTTTATGGCTTTCTATAATTTACGCAAATTATTGTAATTAATAGATGAACTTATTTTATAAAAGGTGCAAAATGGATGGGGCCAAGACATTACTGTAAGGAAAATATTAGTTTGATTAGCATTAAATTAAGTACGGGATCACAATAACATACGAGTATAGAGGTAGTGCTAATGTTGTAAAGTCAAATATAAAAATCCAGGGAAAGTTAATATCAGAAAAGTATGTGCTTTTCTACAGACTGTAAACAGGTGACTACGTGCAGTTATTTCAATAGGTTTTCCTCATTAACTGAACGAAAAGTAGTGAGCAGTGTTCTCCCACTGAGACATTACTCAGTATTTTGTCTTTATTTTCATCCAGAGGGGCACACGTGGCATTTACTACACACTATTTAGATCTGATGCTGAAGTTACCAATTTATTCATGGTTCTACGTAGCACTCATCATTAGGATGCTAGATCTTTGTATTATTTTAACTCTTGATCTCAAGAGTTCATCCTTTGCTTCTTATTCCTCATTATCTTCACACACCTATTTGTATCTTGCATTTCCAATCTCACTCCTGCAGTGCATGTCTCCTCTTCCTTACCTTCCCTTAAAAAATCCACTTACTGGATTTTTTGGCCCCGTATTTCCCAACAAGTTTGCTCAGACCTCATCTTTCCTATTCACTCCCAGGTCTAGAACCTGAGTAAATAACCCAGGCTGCAGAGTGCCTCAAGGGCTCTTAATGCAGCTTTTGTGTGAGTACATGGACATCAAAAAAAGTGTTAAAATGCCTGTGCATTGTAAAACCATAAAGCACTGGGAAGAATGAGGGAAAGGGGGCGAGTTCCCACCACAGACATCTTCTAGATGAAGTTCACCTTTCTGTACCTAAATATGAAGTGGATACCCAACTTCAAAGATCCCTGAAAGCCCTGTTATTTGGATGAAAATAGGACCACACTGTGTTTACATGTTAAGATCAAAACCAGTGCACATGATAAAGCTTAGCACAGAACATTCTCTAGATGTTCTCTATCACAAAATTTACCAATTTTACCTCATTCAAATAGAATTTAACAGTTTCTTCCCATTCTCTTGAGCAAAACAAGAACAACACAGCAGTTAATATTATCAGAGTAGTTTTGTACACCCTGAAGTATTAGAGTACACTGCACAGCACAAACCTAAGAATCTGATCTTAAATTGGGCATTATACAGGAGAGAAATGGAATGGTGAAGCTAAAGAGAAGGCAACAGAAGTTGCTACTCCATTATGAAGTCACTAATGAACTATGCCATATTTTTCCTCCCCATTGTTAGAACAGTGCAATGAAAAGACAGCACTAGGAAACTTAAAGATGTTAAACTCCACTTACACAGGAATAGCACACAAGATTAAGCCAGTAGAGATTCTGTTTGTGCATACACATGTATGAGGGAAAAACAGTGGTGTTCCATAACATCACGGATCAACGTAGATATCTTTTAAGGCAGCAAACGAATTAGAGATAACGTGCAGCTGAGGAAGATAAACTTGAGACATTTCTCAGATGTATGTGTGAAATAACTTTCGGGTAACTTTTCCCCCTCCCAAGTAGAAATACTCAAAGCAGCTGTGTTTGGTATCAGCACAGAGGAAGGCACTGTAGACAAAGTAAGTATTGAGCACAGGTATTTGCATAACACATATTTGCAAAGCTAAACAGTGAAAACTGAGTCATTAGCCATATGGTAAACTTAAACGAAGGTTGATGAAATGCCAGGAAGCTGTTGCTCTTCAACTGTGATGCAGAATTTAGCAAGTGATTCACGTCTGTCACATTCATATAAAATACATTCCATGAACACTATTTTAAGCCATTGTGAAGAAAGCTTTGAGAACGTGCACTGTACAAACACTGATCTTTCTGAGTTGTGGAGATTTAACATGAATGTATGTTGAAATATCATTCTTTGGAATTTCTCTGCCTGTTTACATGTACAATTAAAGGTGTTGATTTGTTATAGCCCTAACAGCTTTGGACTTTGGAGGTTTCTGAAAGCCTCTTTTATTTCAGATCTTTTCTTTAACCCTTCATCAACTCACGGCAGTAAGGAGCTAGTGAATAGCTGTTGCTCAAGAGCCTTGGCCCAATACAAACCAATTTATGCCGTGTACCCTGGGAGTCTGTTCCCTCTGCCATCCTGTCATTCGGCAAGATTTTACAATTACAATCCTTTAACTGTTTCATCAAGACTACAACGCACTGTTCTCAACTGGCTGAACTGGCATGGATTGATTTGGTAAAAGATGGGACAATATCCAGATATTAGTGACAGATGCAACGGAGAAACACAATTAATAAACCAGGTTAACATCTAGCCAATACCCATAGCACACACTTTACATTATGCTTTTCACTGTCCTGCATGACTCCGCAAATTTTTAGTGCCACAGCATCAACAACCTCCATGCAAACTGATGAAGACACAGCACCATGTTAATCAAGCCCTTTGAGATCAATGCTTGAATCCAAGCAGTGCTGCTAAGACTCATCTATCTGCTGCCAAGTAATGCAGCTCCATTTGCCAGATCATCATTTCAATTCAAATGTACTCTGGTTGCAAGAACTTCAATATAATTTGATGGCACTGTTGTTAATCATAATAACTCTTTTTGTAATAAGCACCTTCACCGTAAGGATGTTAAGCATTATTCATTTAGCGATAAGTGACTTCACACAGCAAGCCTATAAAGGGAATGGTAGCAGTGGAGAATTTTGAGTCAAAAAACTCACCTATTATTACCACAGGCAGAGTAAGAAGAGAGTCTCCAGGCAGAACAGTTTCTTCTAATAAAGGCATTCTTTTTATCTTCTTCCCAAGGCTGTCACCAAAATACTGGCCAAAGGAATTCAGAAGCTGTCCTTCAGTTTCAGAGCTGTTGTAATTCCTAATTGAGAAGGACAGATGGAAGAAAACTGAAAATATAACAGTTGTACTGGAGTCAAAACAATCTTGTCAAAATAAAGTTGCTTCTAATGCTTTATTTGAAGAGCTACAGAATTAACAAAAAATAGACTAAAATAGATATGTTTCATCCAGTCTACAGAATTTTACTCTCCAGAACAGTTTTCTAACAGTAAATCCAACTCCATTTTCTCCTAGGAAGTCTATAGCAAGATAATAAAAAGGGACAGATGGCTCCACAGAGACACAGATTTCCAATTCAGTTTATACAAAGCCAATGTATAACCAACGAGCATTATTTTGATCCACCACACAGAAAAGCTCACTTTTCATTATCCCCATCAGAAGTGGAGACACCCCCCACCTAGCCCACAAACAACATTGAGACCAACCAAAAACTGAGTGAGAAGCTAAGATGTATCAGCAGCCCCTTACATACTTTCCTACCTGCCGAACAGCACACAAGACTTTACACCAACACATTCTTGACCAGGTAGATGCAAACCTAAAGTCAGCAGTGGTGCGAAAAATTGAGAGACTGCAATTTCTAGTAACCCTAGGTGCATCCTATGGTGGTTTTAACCACATTAAGAAAGTCTTTTACAAAAGGAATCAAACAACAAACTTAATGCAAGTAATTACTGTGCACCAATAGGTTAGCTGCTGCATTACAGACTGCTCCCACCACTTGTCATCTCCTTAATTTGTCAGCTTTCTCTCTGCAACACCAAGCTAGCTTCCTCTCACAGTTCTTCATGCTCTACATATACATCTATGCTAAAGACGTGTTTTAAACTGCTTGCCTCTTAATTATTCATGAGCACCTACTCAAGTTTTCCAGGTCACTGAAGAAGCAAACATTTCATCAGCTTAGCTTAAAAGGCAATAGCAAATTAAAAATCTGCTTTTATTAAATTTTTAAAATGCTCAACTCCTAAATTAAAAACGTCCCAACCTATCAGCCCCCTTGGCCTGAGGGGTCTGCTGGATGCTCCCAAAGCCTGACAGAAAGCTGAAGACTGAGCTGCACAGCAGTGACAGCACTGTCACCCAGCCCCGTGACAGTCACTTCCTGGTTAAAAAGGGGGAAGCCATTCTGAAATTGTATTTACTTCTGGAATTGAGAACTTCACATGTGTGTTTCCTGTATTACAGGAAAAAAAAAGTTGGAAATCAATGACTCCACTGAATTACAGCTGTGCACTGGCTTGTCACAATAATAGGTGTGCATTAAAGCACAAACTGCAAGCTGAAGTGAATAGAGAGGATATTTAACCACCACACTGCTTTTTTAGGCAGGTACAGGTAGGCTCCGCTACCTGCCAGCCTGCACTCCGAGCTCACTACGGCAGCAGTGCTCTGTGCTTAGCAGGTGGACTGGCAGAGAGCAAGGGGGTTCAACACACCCTCCTCGCAGGATGGAAGGCTGAAACCGGCTGAAAACCTCTCTTGCGCAGCACAGAACTGTGCAGATCTGCCTGCACACACAAGCAGCTCCTCAGCTATCACGTGCACGAAGCAGAAGCAGCACCGCATCAGTCGCGCGTCCTTGCTTCTTAGGAACAGCGCAGCAAAGCTCGGGAAGGTCCTGAATTAGGATGGCAGAGGTGGCCGCCCCTGAGCCGCGAGCAACGGCCCAGCAACGAGCACCAGGCTTTGCATCCAGCTCTGCATGGCGGGGACCGGTATCAGCAGCCCGGCCCAGGGCCTGCGCTCAGCCCCCAGCCGGGGATCCGCAGCGACGCGAGGCTGCCAGACCCGGCGCTGGCGTTTCGCTCTTGATTTTCAGTTATTCGCAGTTAGTTACATTTCTAAAGGAAGTGTGGGAAAAGAGCAGGAAAACACATACCATACGTAAACGCTATCTTCCCCGGGAAGAGAACAAACCGTTCGCAACAGCTGCCGTTATTTCCCTCAAGTTACTAACAGAGGAGCCTTTCTTACGGAGCAGTTCCCAAAGCCCCCGCAACGCTGTGCGTAGCAGCAGGCTGACCGCAGCGCGCGGCTGACGGAGATCTCGTCACGCACACACGGATGATACCCGGTGCCAAGCGCACATCCCGCCGGCGGGCCGCTCTTATCTCCCGGCAGGGTCGCGCGGTGCCCGGAGCGGCACCGTGAGCGCCGACGGAGAAGGAACGGCGCACGGCCCCGCGCTGCGGCGGGGCTGCCCGACTCGGCGCTGCCCGGCTCGGCGCTACCCAAGGTGACCGCGCGGCTGGGGCGCCCCTCCATCCCGCCCCTCGCTCCACACGTCTCCCGCGGAGGCCGCGGCCCCGGCGCCACGCCGCCCCTCACCTAACGGGACCGGCCAAGGAGCAGCGGCAGCACCACACGGGCATGGGGGGCTCCGTCGGGCTCGGGGCGCCGGCGGGGCCCGGCGGCGGGGCTGCGGGGGTACGTCGCTCCGCGGCTCCCGCTCCTCCTCCTCCCGCCGTCGCCACACTGGGGCCGCGCCGCGCCTCCTCCCCGCTCGCAGGCGGCCGCGGGTCACACGCGGAAGGAGGAGCCGCCGCCAGCACCGGGAGGGAGGAGCGGGAGGAGAGCGAGGAGGAGGGCGCGCTTCCTCCTGCCCGCCCCGCAGAGGGATGCGCCGCCACGGCCGCCCGCTGAGGGAGCGGGCGGAACCCTTCGCCCAACGGTAGGGAAAGAAGGACGCGTTCAGCGCCCCGCGGGGGACGGGGAGAAACGTCCTCCAGCGAGCCCCCAGAGAAAAACGAGGCCCGCTCCCCACCGCGGCCATACAGCCGCCCGCAGCCCCTCCCCTGCCGCGGACGTCCCCGCCCTCCCGGCAGGCCGCGCCACCTCCTCCGCCGGCGCGGGCACACCTGTGGCCGCCGCGAGGAAGCGCTGGGGTGCGGAGCGCGGTGGGATCCCGATGTCCTGGGCCTGGCGCTTGAACCCGTTAGGCCTTTTGTTATATCGCGGGAACCGCTGTTGTGGTTCCGCGGGAAACTTGAGAGATGTTTCCCGTCTTCGTGCTCAGTTTTTGAGTCAAGAGCCACAGCAGTTGTGTTTAGAGAAGGAAGTGCTTTTCTGTTGCTGAATTGACCCAGTGCTGCCATGCCAGCAGCTGTCACAGTGATCTTACAGCCCCGTGTCCTGTCCTGTATTTCCTTCTGTGGTAAAGTCAGGTTTCACCTGTGCTACTTCAGCCTGGAGGAAAGGCTGAGGGGAGACCTCATTGCAGCCTTAAAGGGAACTTGTAAGCAGGAGGGAGTCCTACTTTTTGCATAAGAAGATAGCGATAGGACCTGGGGAAGTGGCTTTAAACTAAGAGGGGAGACTTAGGTTAGATGTTAAGCAGAAATCATTTATGCAGAAGGCAGTGAAGCACTGGCACAGGTTACCCAAAGAAGCTGCAGATGTCCCATCCTGGAGGCATTTGGGATTAGGTTGGATAGGGCCCTGGGCAGCCTGAGCTGGTGGGTGGCAGCCCTGCAAAGCAGCGGTGGATTGGAACTGGATGGGCTTTAAGGTCCCTTCTAACCCAAGCCATTCTATGATTGTGTGCAAATGTCCATGTGGGTATTAGCAGAACAGAAATCTAATTATATTACAAACTTTGTAGGCACCGTTTGGCTAATGTCCATCTACATCTGAATGCTTCATATATTTAATGGTAGCTAAACTGTATTTTTGTTATTGTAAATGTTTCACAGGTGTGCATGGTTGGGAGAAGTCGTATATTTCTCAGTCCTCTAATCACAGAGTATTTGAGGGCAGTGGGATGTTGGGAGCTCCCCATGCCCATTCCCTGCTCAGAGCAAGGTTACCTGCAGCCCGGGACCACATCCAGCTGATGTCTCAAAAAATTGACAGCACAGGCAAATTTTTGAAGGTCTCCAAGGGCAGAGACTTGACAGCATTTCTGAGCAACCTCCCTGGGTGCTGACCAACCTCACAATGAAACGTGCTTCCTTCTGTGCTAGTTTAATTTCCTGTGTTTTGAGGAGATAGAAAATCTTGATATAAAATCTCTTTTTAGCAAGTACAAAACACATCCAATGAAACGCACTGCTCTTCACATTTACAGCATTAACAGTGCTTGTCATACATCTTTAGACCAGAATTAAGAATGTGAAGCTGCTTTTAGCTTTTTCTTTTTTTTTTTTTTTTTTTTTTT